GTGGCTGGATGTGAGCGGGCAGGACACCTGCTGCTCAGCCCCAGTCCCTGTGTTCAAGGATCTGTGCTGGGTCTGCTTACCGCAAGGTCAGCGGTTCAGAACCACCAGCTGCTCGAGGGAAGCAGGTGAGGCGTTCTGCCCTGTGAAGCGTGGCAGCCTCAGGACCCTCAGGAGCAGGCCTGCACTGTCCTGGCGGCGCCCTGTGATGGCGTCGGTCGGCTCAACGGCCAGGAGGCCCTGGTCTGCTGTGTCCGTGTGGGTGTCTGTGTCGATGCGGCCCGTTCAGAGAGGACCCTCCTCCTCCGGTTGGTGGAGGATGGACCTGACCCCGGTGGGGCTGCTGGAGTCAGTGCTTTGAGCACCACACAGCCCCTGGGCCACGTGCCCTCAGGGTCTGAGCAGTAGGCGTGGGCTGAGCAGTAGGCGTGGGCGGGCAGACACAGGGGTGGTGCTGTGATGGGAGTGTGTGTGCAGTGGCGTGACGGTAGCGTGTGAGGTCGTGGGGAGGAAGTGAGTGCGGGTTTCTGGGAAGTGGCCACCGTGTTGGAGACTGGTGGTCACAGGTCCCTGACTTTAAAACCGCACTGTTGGAGGATCATGGTGAAGGAGCCGTGACCGGACACACACATTGTTGGCATTTGGTCTCTTGACGGGTGGGGGGGGTTGAAGAAGGGACTGGGGGTGGACTAGAGGGGTGGTCCTGGCGGCCAGCTCCAGCCCTATCAGGCGTCAAGCCACCCTGCTGGTCATCTGTGATGCCTTCAGAGTGTGTCCACTACACGGACCTAGCGGGCTCAGTAGACACCTCAGAGCGGCCCGGCAGTTTTGCACGAGTACCTTTGTCTACCCTCCTGCCCCATCCCCACTGCTGTTCCCCGTGAGGGACGGACGTCCAGAAGTGTGTGGACCAGCACCCTGACCACTTGCTCCCCCCTCTCCAAGCATTCCCTCCTGTGTGGGCAGGGCCCAGGCCTGGCTCTGTGCTTGCAGTGCAGAGCGGAACCAGCCTCCGCAGACCAGGGCTGGCATGGAGAGGGCGCCCCAGCACGGCCAGCAGAGTGAGGAGACCGGTGAGACCGAGGCAGTGCCCAGGTAAAGGGACACAGGACACAGGCCCTGCTTCCACCGTCCAGCGTGCCCTGTCCCCCATTCCATCCAGCGTGCCTCTTCCTGAAGGCCCGTCACCCCTGGACCCACCTCCCGGTCATTGGCCCCACCCCGTGTCAGTCTGGACGTCAGCTCCACTGTTGCCTGCTGCTGGCCCTGTCAGGCCGTCCACGCGGCGACTAGCGCTCAGCCTCTCAGCCTCGAGAAGCAGCTGCCCAGGGCCCCAGGGGCTGCTCCTACTCACAGGAATGGCTGACAAGGGTGGGGAACTAGTGCAGGGTCTCCCTTCAGGGTTGCGGAGAATGTTTCAAAGTTCGGGCGGGGTGCAACATGACTGGACGCTGCCTGCGGGTGGCGGCCTTCCCCTAGGGTGGACGTACCACAGCTGCAGACGCCACCTCACCCCACTGAGCTTGTGGCCCTCTAGAGTGAGGCGGGATGCTGAGCTTCCCGTCAGCCCCCACGCTCAAGCCCACGGTGTCTGCCCACCTGTCCATCCATCTGTCCGTCATTCCGGGAGGCACAGGGGACCTGCACTGGGCTGCCCTGGCGGGGGGTGGGGGTGGGGGTGCAGACTTTGTAGATGCATTTCAGGGGTAACCCGCCTCGCTGTGCATTGAAGCTGTTCAGCAGGCTCCCCTGCCCTTGCCCCTGAGGCTCTGTCCTTTGGTCCACTGAGGGCCCCCACCGGTGCCCAGGTGCCAGGCCTGTCAGGGTCCCTGGGACGGCAGGTCCTGTGCTGAGATGACAAGGCAGGCCTGTCTTTTCCCTCCCCCTCCAGAGAGCAAGTCCAGATGCTGACTGGGAAGCCCCGGGAGCAGGAGGAAGCTGAGGCGGGAGCGGAAGACAAGCCTGGGGAAGCTGGGCACAAGGTGACTGCCAGCCGGCCAGCCAGAAGCTCTGCTCTCGGCGGGGGTGGGGGGAGGCACTGAGGGCTGGGGGGGCATTAGGGGTGACCAGGGGCTCTGCTCTCGGCTGAGGAGGCACTGAGGGCTGGGGGGATTAGGGGCGTGGCCGGGCTCATGGTGCAATGGTCCGCTTCCTCCTCTGCACCAACACTCTAGCTCTGCCTCCCCCCTGCACATCTCTGACAGTGGGGGATGGGGGTGTCCCTGGACTGGCAGTGCAAGGACTTCTAGGACTTCCTGCTCAGCCATAGGTCCTAGAGCTGGGTTCAGACAGACACAGGATGGAGGAGGCCGGTGCTGCCCTGGGCAGAGGGCTCTCGTTCCCCAAGAACGCTTGAGCAACAGATGCATACTCTCTCAGTTCAAGAGGCTGTGTGCTCCCCTTGATTCCGACTCATGGCCCCTCCGGGAGACACACGGGGGCTGCATAGGAGCACCCAGCCTGTCCTCCACCTGAGGAGCAGGTGGTGGCTTCGAACCACTGCCCTTGTGGTCAGCAGTTCAGCATATAACCAGTATCCACCAGTGTTACTATCTCTCTCTCTTGGCTCCACCCATGACCACAGCCTAAAGGCAGCCAGACAGAGTCCTCGGACTGAGGGTGACTGGGTGGCCCTTTGTCTGTGGACTCAGCAGCATACCCCCAAAAGCCCCTCCCCTGCCCCAGTTCTCCAGGGAGTGGATTTCCCAGGTGGCTGGGTACTGGAGCCGGCTTGGCATCAATGCCGCCCTGGGTCTGGTGCTCCCCTCTCCAGGGTCTCTGGTCTCTAGGGGAGACGAGTGACAGCCTCGAGCCTGTGTCCCTCCAAAAAACACCCCTCCGTGTCAGCTGCAGAGGTGGTCAAGGGAGTCTTTCTGCCTCGAGGGGAGCTGTGTGCAGGGGATCGTGTCCACAGTTTGAAACCACCAGCCGCTCTGTGGACAAAAGGCAGGGCTTTCTACTCCTGTGAAGAATTACAGCCTCAGACACCCGCAGGGGCAGCTCTGCCCTGCCTGCAGGTTGCTGTGCGTCGGCATCGACTCGGCGACCTTGGTTTGAGTGAGCCGTGGGTGCAGGGAGCCCTGCAGGGAGCACAGAGCCTCGGGGCCCTGCTTGCCGGAAGGGTGCCTGGGGTCTGTTGCATGTGGGTAATAAAAAATACCACCACCCGACAAAACACAGATGGGTGGGTGGGTCGGTGGGCAGAAGACTACATGCAGGACAGTGCCAGTAGGTGGCTGTGGCCCCACGTCCTTGCCCCCTACCCCGCATGTGCCCTCTTTCCTGCCCGAGGTGGTCTGCTTCAGCCTGTCTGCTTTGGGGCTTTCGCTGTCGTCTCCCCGCTGAAGCACGCCTCGGTCTCCAGTGGGGCTGGCTGGAGGCATGTGTCGGGGAGAAGCCCCCTGAGTCCTGGGAGCGGATGACTAACTTCAGGTCTCAGAGGCCCCGCCTCTAGGAACGTACAGACACCTCAGGGAAGCTTCTTGGGGCTGCCTGCCGATCCTTGACCCCTGAGTACCCCTTTACCTTGTGACCCGCTGGCCGGGCCACACGGTGGCAGGAGTGGGGCGTGAGGACTGCCTGAGGAGGGTAGGCAGGGGCTTGGCTGCCTGGTGCTGTGGGGTCAGAGCGCCTGGGGAGGGCGACCTCGACAGATGAGACCCCCGCTCCCCGTCCAGAAGACAGAGTTCAGAAGCAGGGAAGCTCTGCAGGCAGGTCCTGG